CACCCCACCCTCCCTCTACCCTCCTGGTATCACCACTCTCAGCACTGGTCCTGAAGGGTTCATCTGTCCTGGATTCCTGTGTTTCCAGTTCCTATTTGTACCAGTGTACATGCTCTGGTCTAGCCAGATTTGTAAGGTAGAATTGGGTTCATGATAGTGGTAGTAGGGGGAGGGGGCAGGGAAGGGGGGGTGTGCCACGGGAAGGAAGCATTTAGGAACTAGAGGAAAGTTGTATGTTTCATTGTTGCTACACTGCACCCTGACTGACTCATCTCCTCCCTGAGACCCTTCTGTAAGGGGATGTCCAGTTGCCTACAGATGAGTCTTGGGTCCCAATCTGCACTCCCCCTCATTCTCAATGATTTGATTCTTTGTTCTTTGATGTCTGATACCTGATCCCTTCAACACCTCGTGATCACACAGGCTGGTGTGCTTCTTCCATGTGGGCTTTGTTGCTTCTGAAAACCTTTTTATTTTTAAGAGAAAATCAAGGAAAAAGAGAAATCACGTTCTGGGCTAAAAAAAAAAAAGGTGTCATCCACAACTGTGAAACTCTTCATTGTTTGTCTTCTCACCAAAGACATCTACCAAAAGGTCCATTGTTCTCACCACAGAAGCCTTTCTAAAACCAAACTCACTGCCCTCAAATCAATGCTGAGTCCTAGCGACCCCCACTGGCTTCCGAGGCTGTGACTACTTATGGAGTCGAAAGCCGTGTGTTTCTTTCTAGTTGCTGCTGGTTTCCAACCACCCACCATGCAGATTGCAGCCCAAGCGTGACCACTACCCCACCAGGGCTTCTTACAGAAGCCTCCACAGACGCCAACTTACTTTCTTTGAGAAGACTGGTGGGCACATGCCACGTTTGTCAGGCGTGCAGAGATTTTCATGGCACCCTGATGTTGCCTGGGCCTTTAAAATCTGATGTCAAATCCTGAGACTGAAGGTAGAGGAGTACTTACTCTTCGAAACCTATCGGATGAAAACAGAACGAGAGCAGCAGGCAGGACCGGCAGTGTGAAGAGCTTGGGAACGGCAATAGGAAAGGCTCGTTTCTTTCATGGCCAAGGTACTGACTTACCTTGGGCCTGCCAGGCATCGCTCAGAAAAAGGGTGACTGTAATATTTTCCATGTCAGTCCATCTGGTTCACACATTTTTACACAAAGCAAGCAAAAGTGCCGTACGATGTGATTTGATTCTGCTAATTTTGCCACGTCGCAACGTATTCTATTCTATGAACTTACATTGGGGTAAAGAGTATAAAATCTGAGTCAGAATACATGTGATACTGATATAAAGTTTGCAATAGAAAAATCAATTTAACATTGTATTTATATTGCCTTCGATTTAAACTAGTTGGCAGCTTCTTAAATATGTCATTTTATTATTTTGATTTAACTGCTAGAATCGCCTCCAAATCCGTCTGTGTGCTTCGAGTTTCTCTGCATTCCATTCATTTTCACATTTTAAGCAAGAGAGGGCATGTATGATCTGCAACTTATAAATCCAGCTCCGTTCAGCCAGACACGGTGAGCTCTGGTGGCACTAGTGGATGAAGCCTGGGGCTGCTAGCCGGCAGGTTGGAGGTTCAAGATGAAGCTGCCTGCTCCGGAAACCGGATAGAGGGTCACCATGATTCGGAATCAACTTGATGGCAGTAGGTGTGGTTTGGGGTTTGTTGTTAGACACAGGGCAAACAACTAGACCCCTCCCCTCTTGAATTTTTCCTCAGGAAGCTCAGTGCTCAGCGGCTGCTCATTGCATTCGACCATCCTTTCACATCCACCTCCCTCCCCACTGGAGTCTTCACCCAGTCACACTAACGTCCTCCTGCTGCAGAGCATGCCATCTTCTGCCTTTGTTTTTTGGACTGTTTCCCTGAAATGCCCAGTCCCCTTTTTGTTCTGGAATTACCCAAGTTCAAAGATCACCTTCTTCGGTGACTCAGGGACTCCCCGCAGGAAGAGTTAGTCTTCGGTCCATGGAGATCCAGAACTGTTGGCATTCCTCCGTCCATCACACAATATGGTCATTCTCGACCCTTCTCTCACTGCCGCCTCTGCAGGGGCAGGCGGAAGCCATTCCCTGCTCCCTCAGGGTCCTCCTGTGTCTACGGCCTGAGTGGGTGGGGCACCCTCAGTAGGAACCACAGAGCTTTCACAGGAGAAATTGGGGTCTCGCTTTCTCCCCAGTGGACTGGAAGCTGGGAGAAAGCGGTGGTAAGGGAGGCTGCCGAGCGACGAACAGGTTTGGGAAACTAGCGTCGGGGTTGTGTGCACTGGTGGTTTCCGTGCAACATGTTCTCTTCCATGAAACACAAAGCAGGCACTGCCGAGGGCTTCCAGAACCCCTCAGGTCTCCATCGAGAACATTCTAGGGTATCACAGAGTTTGCCTCTCACTGCTGCGCATTCATGTGCGTTTTCTCTCTCTCTGCCCTCGAGATGAAGGTGAGTCGGTGACCCCATCGGACAGGGTAGAACTGCTCCTGTGAGTTTCCCAGATGGATGGGGCCTTTCCAGCCAGTGTCTCAAGCTGAATTGATTTAAAATGAAATAGAAGAAAGAAGTACAGGCAAAAGCTATTTACAAAGGTATAATTATAGGCATGTATATATGTAACTATATTAATTTATAATGAAAGGGATAGAGGCCAATGTACATATATGTTAAGTTTTTTTTTTTTTATATTAAGTGTTAAGATAGCAGATGGACTTTGGGCCTCTACTCAAGGCCTCCCTAAACACAAGAATACGTTGTTCTACTAACCTGGCATTCTTTGATACTCACCTTCCTGACACGATCCCTGAAGACAAAATGGGTGCATAAGCAAATGTGGTGAAGAGAGCGGATGGTGCCGGGCTAGCAAAAGATATAGCATCTGGGGTCTTAAAAGACTTGAAGTTAAGCAAGCAGCCAGGTAGCAGGGAAGCAAATAAGCCCACATGGAAGAAGCACACCAGCCTGTGTGATCATGACGTGTTGATGGGAGCAGGTATAGGTATCAAAAGATCCCAAACAAACAATTACATCGATGTGAATGAGGGGGTTGGAGTGGAGACCCAAAGCCCCTCTGTAGACAATTGGACAACCACCCACAGAAGGGTTACAAGGAAGGGAAAACTCAACCAGGGTGCAGCAGAGCACCGATAAAACACACTCCTCTAGTTCCTGAATGCTTCCTCACCCCCGCTCCCTCCTCACCCATGACCCAGTTGTACCTTACAGACCTGGCTAGACTGGAGAACACACTTTGGTACAGATAAGAGCTCTCGACACATGGAATTCAGGACAGAGAAAACCCTCAGGAACAGTAGTGGGAGTAAGGCTATCAGGAGAGTAGGGGAATGAGGCAGGGGATGGGGGGGCGGGGGGAAGGGGGAGCAAGAGGGAACCCATCACAAGGTTGGATATATAGCCCACCTCCCAGGGGGGAAAATAACAGATATGTGGGTGGAGACAACGGACAGTGTAAGACATGAAATAATAATAATAATACATTATTGATAAAGGACTCATGAGGGTGGGAAGGTGGGGGAGGAAGGAGGAAAAAGAGGCACTGATACCAAGGGCTCAAGTAGAAAGAAAATGTTTTGGAAATGTTGATGGGAACATATGTACAAGTGTGCTTCATACAACTGAATGATGGCTTGTCATAAGATTTGTAAGAGCCCCCCTCCCAATAAAATGATCAATAATAAAATGAAGCCAAAGTAAAAAAATGCTTTATCCCTAGGTTGTTGTTGGTCCCACCACCCCTTTTTTAAAAACAAAAAACAAATCCCATGGCACCTGTAGTGTTATCTTTTAAGTAACCAACTCTATCTAATGTTCTTTCTAACTACCTGTAATGAATGATTTACCCACTTGAAACAATGCGGTCCAAGACAGGCCTCCCGCCAAAACTAATTTTATGAAGATCCACCACACCCCTAATATTTTACATTCTTAAATATGCTGCTGAGCTACACTTACCAGACACAATTCATTCCATGTGCCCCGTTGCACAAGAGGGTCAGAGCATATTTGGCCCAGAGAGTGGCATGAGGGCAATGCAGGTTGTGACTTTCAGAGACCTACAGCTGAAATCCCTCGTGGCCTTGCTAGATCCCTCCAAATGGAAGCAATGAGTTAAGGCTACAGAATAAGTCCCCTAAGCGTTTTTTCAGGGTCAAAGAGAATGCGCACAAACACGAACTGCTTGGGTTTCCCGTCTTTTCTCATTCCATAACTCATTTCTTGTCATTGAGCCGATTCTGACTCGTCGTGACCCTGTACGACGTGGTAGAACCGCCCCTCTGGGTTTCTGAGACGGAAACTCGTGACGAGAATAGAAGGCCTCAACTTTCTGCTGAGGAGTGGTTTCAAACTGCTGACTTTGCAGTTAACAGTCCAGCGCATAGCCACTACACCACGGGGCCTCTTCTTTCATAGAGGAGAACATGTATAGAAACGAAAGGCAATGTGTGAGGAGTAAGCAGAAGTAACATTTTCTGGTTAGTCAAGTTAGCATACTTACTGAGTGTGAGATTACCCTTCTTGAAGATTGTTGTTGTTAGGGGCTGTCAAGTCGGGTTCGACTCAGCACCCACAGGACAACGGAGAGAACCACTCCCGGTCCTGCACCCATTGGTGCAGCGCCTGTGTCAGTCCATTTTACTAAGGGGCTTCCTCTTTTTTGCTGCCCCTCTGCTTTACTGAGCATTATGACCCTCCTCTGGGACTGGTCACTCCTTATAACATCTTCTGAAGGCTTAGGCTATTAGAAAAGTAACCTAATATGACAATAATTCTCAGCAGAAACTACTATAAGTGGTGTTGTGTTTTTTTAATTATAGTTTTTATTTTGAAAGTTGGACATGCTTGTTGGTTTGTTTTTTATATCAGCACTGTGTAAACAGGAAAGGAAAGGTCATCAACTTCCGTTATCACTCCCCTTTGCCAGTGCTGGTGCTGGTAAGTGCTATCAAGTTCACTCTGGCTCCTGGCGACCTGAACAAAACACTGTCCTCTTGTGCACAATCATTGCTATTTGTGAGTCCGTTATTGCAGCCACCATGTCAGCCCATCTCATTAAGGGTCTTCCTCTTTTTTGCTGACAACAATTGTGTTTTGGGAGCATCTCAAGGTCAACGCTATCAATATGGATAGTCACTCCCCATTATAGACATAGACCTTCACTTCCAATCTTTCCAGAGTCGGGGATCCAGCCAAGCCCTTCCTTTTTGGGACAGCTGCTTTCAGGAGCCAGGTAGGCTAGGGATGCCTCTCCCGGGGCCCTCCACTCCCTCCATCTTTAGCCACCCTACAAGGTCAAAGCTCCTCCTTGTCCTTGCCACTCATACTAGATAAGTATGTCTCTGTCTGCTTCTTCAGGAGCTGTCCCCTAGTAAGCTCCTCTAAATTTCATCAGACTCCGTTACCCCCTCTCCCCTCCCCGTTTAAGAAATGTTTATTAAGCTCCCTCTGTGCCAAGCAGTTTTCTGTATGATTAAAACATGACCTTTGTCCCTAAAGATCAGTTTGTTCTTTAATGAAATATAAATTAATAACCATAGTAGATGGTGAATACCTTAAAATGGGAAACATGGGGATGGACGGCGGGGAGGGGGGTGGCCGGGGCGGAGGAAAACCAGTGAAGGCTCAGAGGAAGCTGGACAGAACCTGGGAGCCAAAAAATGGGAGTTATCCAGACAGAGCAAGGCAGGGGGAACGACACAAGTCATGTCCTCAGCCCGAGAGGAGTGAAGGGGACCTTTGGGAAAACTGCAAGTGGTTCAGCCTGGCAGGTGTAAAAGATTCACTCCGGGTCATGCAGGGGATAACCCTAAAACGTGACAGGAGCCAGATCAAAAATTGGGTCACCTCCCCACACAATTATGCCTTCCCTCCTTTCCTCTCTCGCTTTTGCCTGGCTGCCACAAGCCATCCTAGAGCCCCGCGTCTCCATCACATTCCATATCTCTAAGTCCACCTAACCCTGCTTCCTAAATATTTGTATTCCAGCTCCACTGCCACGGCCTTATTCATGCCTCGTTGCTCAATATGCCTTACTGTACTATCCCACTCACTTATCCCTCCTCCACCCTCCTCTGTGGCCAGAGTGGTCATTCAATATTATCAGGCCATGACA